GTATTGGGATTTTTTTTTTTTAGCAAAGACATGGAGCAGAATATATTTTGGCCTAAATTTATGAGATAATTTGATTTTTTCAATTTTTTTACTGCATATGTTTTATAGCAAAAAGTGAAAAATATGTTTTTGTTTTTTTTCAAAATTGTCAGTCTGTTTTTGTTTATAGCGCAAAAAAATAAAAAACTCACAGGTGATCAAATACCACCAAAAGAAAGCTCTATTTGTGGGAAAAAAGACATACATTTAATTGGGGTGCAGCATTGCATGACTGCGCAATTGTCAGGTAATTTAATGCAGCGCCGCAGCGAAAAAAATGGCCTGGTCAGGAAGGGGGGTAAATCCTCTGGAGGGTAAGGGGTTTATTGAACAAGCTGAAGTTAGAAGCTGATTGGCTACCATGCACAGCCGCACCAGATTCTGAGTGCTCCAGTTTTAGTAAATCTCCCCAATATGTATTTCATAGATTTTACTGCTATCATGCTTCATTATTTGGAGTCAGTAAAGTGTGAGGAATACTGCAATATTAGTTATTATGAAAAATAAAAAAATGCTCATATGGAACAGTTGGCCATTATTAGATCTGGGTCAATCCTGATCTGTCCAATCCAGTTCACTGAGTACAGGTAAGCATTTTTTGCCCCATGCATGAAAAGCAAAAAGCTTCCACAAGCTACATTTTGTTTAAAACTACACTGCTGAGATTAAAACACAAAACTTGTCTTAGTTTAAATCATTTACTCTTTCTCAGGAAATAAAAAGAGAAGAAAAAAAAAGAGATTTATACTGAGAAGCTCACAGAACAATACTGAAATTTGATAAGTATGCAAAATTCAGCAGAAAAAAAAGCTTAAATATGTGCAGAAGGTAGGAAAAATGTCCTTTTTATGCAGAAAGGAATAATAAAATTAGCATGCCAGCGTGATAGAGAATCTACTTATTGTTTAACAAAAACTTCACTTCTAAGGCAAGTAAATATTTTATCAGCCAGAGCTGCCCTGAAGCTGAAAGACAATCCGCATGTCAGTTTATTCCTGTAAATCACAACTCTTGATTTATCGAGGTGACAGAATAGGAGGCAATATACAAAAATAGATATCTTTCTTTTCTTTTCAGGTTTCCTTCCTCTTCAAAATGCTCCCTATAATTGGAGTGGATACACTGTAAATACATTGATAAGGGCAAAATATTGTTAATAAATTGGGACACTATAGTGACGGAGGGTAGGCAGGACAGAACACACAAAGCAGATGGCAAACACACAAAGCTTTATTAAAGCAAGTGACAGTCACTCAATTGGGGTCTGCAGGGAGCGTGGCAGTACCCGGTATGGGGAAGTGGCAAGGAGGGGGCTCAAAACAGCGTAATCCAGCCCCAGGGGCAAAGTTAGAGTTTCTACAAGTGTTTGTAATCTAAGCAGGGAAACGGGGATAGGGTACAGGAACAGTTCAGGGGAATGAAACAGGGGAGCACACACTCACAGCTCCGGCAGGGATGCCCGGGTTCACAGCAGACGACAGCCAGGGGGCGACCCTCCTCAGCCCACAACAGAGGGTCCTAGCAGCAGGGACCAGGCTTGACTGTCCAGCAAGCAGTATTCCAGCACTCCTGGGTGCAGAGCAGGGGCAGTATAACAGCAAGTACTTGACCTGAGTCCTGAGTATTTGTAGCAATTCTCCCCCCCAAATCCTGGGTAATTGCAGAGTGGCAGCTGACGTTATTTCTCCCCCAAATCCCTGGGTAATTGCAGAGAGGCAGCTGGCATTATTTCTCCCCCAAATCCCTGGGTAATTGCAAAGTGGCCGCAAGAGTCTCGCCGCAGCAGAGACCTCTTGGCGGCTGGGCAGTGGAACAAACAAACGAGGAGCCCGGCATCGGCCTTCTTAAGCCAATGCAGGACGCTCCCTGGTCATCCTGGCAACCGTGGGCGGCGTGTCTCTCATCGCCCGGCAACAAGGCACACCCCCTTGACAGGGGCCGCGCTCTCGAGAGCGCGACCTTTGTCTGTCAGTATCTGCAAGCGCGGGAACTTTCGTGCCCACGCTACAGATGCTGGGGCCGTGCGGCATCAGGCTGACTGCTGCAGCCCAGAACATCCCCGCGGGAGGTTCGCACCTCTCCGTGGAGAGGTGTGAACCTCACTTCGGGGAAACTATCTTCCTCCCTCCAGCCGAGCGGGATGGGGGAAAGATAAGTGACAGGGGTGACAGGAGTCACACCTCTTATCCTGTGCGGCTCGGCTTCAAAGAGTCGCGACAGGATGAGAGGTGGAGGGGGGTGATCAAGGAGCGAGCCAAGGGGGGGAGCGGGACATTTGCCACACCATGACAGCAAGGTTCCCTTATAACATGACTGAAAAATGACATAAGGTTCATTTCTTAAAAAAAATTTAAAAAAAACCTCTAAACCTGGCTTTCAACAGTCTCACTCAAGTGAGAGTGGATCTCCCTGCAGGATCCTGGGAAAGGCTGAGTATCCCAAACTTTGGGTTAAGAATAATATAATACATAAGGGGCATATGATCTCCATGTATAATACATAAGGGGGATGTGATCACCATGTATAATACATAAGGGGGGGGGGTATGATCTCCAAGTATAATACATAAGGGGGATATGATCTCCATGTATAATACATAAGGGGGATATGATCTCCATGTATAATACATAAGGGGGATGTGATCACCATGTATAATACATAAGGGGGGGTATGATCTCCATGTATAATACATAAGGGGGGGGGAATGATCTCCATGTATAATACATAAGGGGGGGGTATGATCTCCATGTATAATACATAAGGGGGGGATATGATCTACATGTATAATACATAAGGGGATATGATCTCCATGTATAATACATAAGGGGGATATGATCTCCATGTATAATACATAAGGGGGGATATGATCTCCATGTATAATACATAAGGGGGGGATATGATCTCCATGTATAATACATAAGGGGGGATATGATCTCCATGTATAATACATAAGGGGGGATATGATCTCCATGTATAATACATAAGGGGGGATATGATCTCCATGTATAATACATAAGGGGGATATGATCACCATGTATAATACATAAGGGGGGATATGATCTCCATGTATAATACATAAGGGGGGGTATGATCTCCATGTATAATACATAAGGGGGGGGGGATATGATCTCCATGTATAATACATAAGGGGGATATGATCTCCATGTGTAATACATAAGGGGGATATGATCTCCATGTATAATACATAAGGGGGGGATATGATCTCCATGTATAATACATAAGGGGGGATATGATCTCCATGTATAATACATAAGGGGGATATGATCACCATGTATAATCCATAAGGGGGGATATGATCTCCATGTATAATACATAAGGGGGGATATGATCTCCATATATAATACATAAGGGGGGATATGATCTCCATGTATAATACATAAGGGGGGATATGATCTCCATGTATAATACATAAGGGGGGATATGATCACCATGTATAATACATAAGGGGGGATATGATCTCCATGTATAATACATAAGGGGGGATATGATCACCATGTATAATACATAAGGGGGATATGATCTCCATGTATAATACATAAGGGGGATATGATCTCCATGTATAATACATAAGGGGGGATATGATCACCATGTATAATACATAAGGAGGGGATATGATCTCCATGTATAATACATAAGGGGGGATGTCATCTCCATGTATAATACATAAGGGGGGATATGATATCCATGTATAATACATAAGGGGGATATGATCTCCATGTATAATACATAAGGGGGATGTCATCTCCATGTATAATACATAAGGGGGGATATGATCACCATGCATGTATAATACATAAGGGGGGATATGATCTCCATGTATAATACATAAGGGGGATATGATCACCATGTATAATACATAAGGGGGATATGATCTCCATGTATAATACATAAGGGGGATATGATCTCCATGTATAATACATAAGGGGGATATGATCTCCATGTATAATACATAAGGGGGGATATGATCACCATGTATAATACATAAGGAGGATATTTCTCCATGTATAATACATAAGGGGGGGGATATGATCTCCATGTATAATACATAAGGGGGAATATGATCTCCATGTATAATACATCAGTGGTTCATATAGTGAACTCGGTGTAGAGAGCTATTCACACTGAGGTCATCACAGAGGACAAGGGGGCACTCTTTATATCTGGAGGAAAATAAATTTTAATCTCCAAACACGGAAAGGTTTCTTCACAGTAAGAGCTGTGAAAATGTGGAATAGACTCCCTCAAGAGTTGGTTCTGGCCAGCTGGGGGGATTGCTTTAAAAAAAGGCCTGGATTCTTCTTGGATACACAGAATATAACTGGATATTACATTTATAGGTAAAGTTGATCCAGGGAATATCTGATTGCCTCTCGGGGGATCAGGAAGGAATCTTTTCCCCTGCAGGAGCAAATTGAATCATGCATTGCTGGGTTTTTTTTGTCTTCCTCTGGATCACCTGTGGATATAGGATTATAATCTTTTTTTTTTTGGTTGAACTGGATGGACTTTGATCTTTTTTCAGCCAGACTAATTATGTAACATAATGAACATGATGAAATGAAATAATTTACTTAACAAATGAATCCAAAATAAAACATGTTTTTTCGCCATACATTCCTCTCACTTCCTCTTTTGGCTATGGGCCAGGAGGTGAGGAGGAAATCTCTCCAATGAGACATATATGGCAAAAAAAACCACTACCCTGGCATGGGGTTTTAACCCTCTCTTACGTAATAAAAAAAAATGTGCCTTTAGTTCTAATAAAGAGTTAGGTTCAAGGGCTATTAAAGTTTAAAAGTTAGGAGGGAGGTTAAGTGTTAAGGGTACATGTTTTTGGTCTAGCCAAAAAAGTTCCTTACAACAGCAAATAAAATAGCTAAACTGAACCTGGTGACAACATTGTGTCAAGGTACACAGTTATTCTTAGTATAAGTACTTACCTAGAGTAAGCTGCGTGACGTATACAAAGATCTGCACTCCTGGCTTCAGCTCAAACATTACAAGGTTCTGATTCAGGGCACTCAGAAGAGACTCTACAATCTAAAAATGAAGATGTGATAGGTAAAGATAGCAGAGAATATACGACCAACGTTACCAAAGACATTTAGTTCAAGCTTTTAAGCCTATCTGAAATCAATGGATGCCTCTGACACCTGGAGGCCAAGTGGTTGAGACTCATGCTCTCCAGCTGTTGTCCTGAGTTCAGATCCCATAGGGGACAATATCTCAGTGCAACTGTGGTGGTTTCACCCATGTGCTCCTTTTCCATTCCACAATCAAAAGACTTCCTGCAGGTTAATTAGCACCATGTTGTAGGGGACAATAGAGTGTGAGCTCCTTCCAGAAACAGGAACTAGTGTGAAATTGTTCCATGGTAATATGTTGATACTATTAAGACACAGGGAATAGTTCTTGGCTGAGTTTCCTGCCCCTTTTTTTTTAGACTCAACTGCCATGTCACGGTGGATTAATTTAAAGCGATGTGACCAAAAGCTGAAAAGGAAGATTTTAGATGCAGAAGGGATGGAGAGAAAAAAAATTAAAGAGTGTATACTGTCTAAAACTTTTTTTTTAATTTTGAGGAGATTTACCCCTCTATTGGTCCTGTTGACTATTGTCAACAAGATACAAAGTGTTGGGAAACCCAAAACTTTAGAGTTGTTACCAGAAAATAAATAGAGAGGAAATGTTTCCAATGGGGATACTTGTGGTGACAGATGTCTAAGAAGGGAGCTTCCCTCACTTTACAAGTGGAAGGGAAAATCTCTCTAATGGAACACAAGCAGTGTACACTTTAATGGGTAACAAGGACATTTTGAGGTAAATTTTATATGTTTGGCTACTTCTCTTTGTCATTTCCTCTCTCTCTTTAGAAAACATTGCGTAATTTGTCCCAGTGGGGAGCTGCATGCTGAAACAAGCAAACTCCACTCAACCAGTTGGGTGGTCTTCAACTGCCGCCAAAAACGCTTAGTAAAAGCAAGGACTGGATTAGGAGTGTAGTACTCAGACTGTATTTAATCCATTAATCAGAGAATATCTTTACATAACACAGTAAACAGACAAAAAGAACAACAGTTTTAGGAATGCCTGCCCTTCCTCGAGCTCAAACTGAGTAACCTGAGTTAGGGCAGGGACACCCGGAACTGTTGTCCTTTTGTCTTTTGATTGTATTATGTAAAGATATCTTCTGAAAAATGGATTAAATAAAATTGTAGCACTGCATTCTGCTCCTGGTCCTGACAAAGGGCTGCCAAAGAACTCTGGGTTATCAGTGGAGACAATACCCACAGATGCCTGCCTTGAGGCTTACTTTGTCTCAACTGAATTTCATAAAGTTGTCAGAAAATGGAAGAGTCACTCTAAATCTTTTAATTGAGTTTGTAAATCTTAAAACAGAAGTTAAGCGTGTGACAAAAAAAGGTCGTCTCCCTGCAACTCTGCAAGGTAATGGCATAATGTGCTAGTATGCCCAGCTTACTAGCACACAGAGGCAGACTGACAACTCATGGGGCCCCCGGGCAATAGAGGATCATGGGGCCCCTGTGTCCTCACCCATGTTCAAACCACACCCAAAAAAAGCCTATGAAAGGTACTAGGGGCATCTCATGGGGCCCCCTACTGACCCTGGGTCCTCGGGCAGTGCCCGAGCGCCCGAATGGTCAGTCCGCACCTGCTAGCACATTATGGAAGATTTACCTTAAAACGAAGCCCTCAAGCGGTGTGCTGTCACCACTGACAGGGCATCTTCACCTGGTCTTCCATCTAGATTTTGTGAGCTCCGGCATCACTCACAGGCATGCGCACAAGCTCTTGGCTCTGAGGAAGAGGCAAGTCCTCGAAACGAGTCAGCCTATTGGATGTCTACACTCCCCATTGCGGACCGTTACTCAGCGCGGGTGTTGACCCAGCTGTTCTTTTATGATGTGCCTTGACTTTATTCTCGTTTGTGAATACAACACCTATTTTATTTCTTATTAAACATTTTTTATGGTAATGCACTAGGCCTTATGCGCACAAGAGTCATGGTCACTGCACAATACACAGTACAGAACTGACAGTACACTCAGTATGCCTTCAATTCAGAGAGCTGTGTGCATTGCTCTGGTGACGTCGGCAACTGCCAACCTAGATATTGGTGCACATTTAGGAGATATTCCTTGTACCTACAGTTAAGCTTTAATATAAGCATACCTGTAGGTACAAGTGGCCATGCAGTGTTTTACTACCACTTTTAAATGTACAAATGTTGATGATTTCTATAAACACCAGTATTTAACAACATGCGGTAAAATCATGGAAGAAAATATGTAAAAAGTAGGGAAGAATTACCCCTGTAGGATGGATGAAAGAAAGCATACAGTTTTGGTCTCTATGGTGAAATGAGGTCCTTAGTATGTTGACTCACCTGCTCCAAGTCCACTTTGCTACCTTTCCTCCGTTCGCTGACATTTTTTGGTGGTAATATAAAAAGTTCTGCTGATGTTGGAAGGCCAGGAAACATGGCTACTAGAATATGCTCCTCAGGGATATGGGTAACCTGAAACAAAAAAAAAATGTACTATGACTTACATTATACTGTATACTATTGACACTGAAATCATTACAAATGAATAACAAGCCCAGGAGACTGTGTTTTTAGGATAAATGCATACTCGGTTTTAATGCTACGTGGTGATCAGTAGAGGGCAAACCAACAAGGTAGAAACCTATTTAATAAAATTAGATTTAGATTTAAAGCAAGAGCCAACTCATTTAGGGATGGATTGGATAAAGAGGCCCAGGTTGTTAAGGTTAGGGGTTAGATAGGGGCAGGGGCGGACTGACCATTTGGAAACTCGGGCACTGCCCGAGGGCCCGGGGTCAGTAGGGGGCCCCATGAGATGCCCCTGGTACCTTTTTCATAGGCTTTTTTGAGTTTGGGCAAGGACACAGGGGCCCCATGATCACCTATTGCCCGGGGGCCCCATGAGTTGTCAGTCCGCCCCTGGATAGGGGCTAGATAAAGGTTACAGATATGTGTTATGGACTAGGTTTTATAGTCAGGTTATAAGGTTAGGTTTAGAGGTTAGATAGCGAGTTAGGTAAAGGTTAGGAATTAGTGTTAAGAGATAGCTTTCAGGTCATGGATTAGCCATAAATAAAGCCAAATGAACTACTCCATAAAATAACATTCAGCTGTCTGCACAGTGTTGTGATAAAGGATGTGTGCTACCACTCACATATGGTGGTCATATCCATACACTACGATATCTACAGTGTTCCTCCAAATAACTGCACTGCTGTCTGCATTTCCTGGATCAAAGTGGAAAGGACTGTATAGTGTCATGTACTAAGTACATTATATGCTGCATAATGAGAATGGAACAATCAGTCACTCAATATCATGACACATATGAACTATTCATGAATTGATGGTAGTGAATGGAGGATATTAGCTAAAACTGGTGCACACGGAATCTGGTGCATCTGTGCATGGTAACCAATCAGCTTCTAACTTCAGCTTGTTCAGTTAAGCTTTGACAATAAAACCTGGAAGCGGATTGGTTTCTATGCAGAGCTGCGCCAGATTTTGCATGCTCCAGTTTTAATAAATCTCCCCCATTGGGCTTACAAGTGTGCAGCAAACTGGTTTGAGCATATTACATTCCTTCTTCTTTATTGATAGAGCAGTATAAGGACTTACTTCCCTGTACAGTCAAAGGATGAAGGGCTGCACCTGCCCCCTGCCCCATCCAAGCCCCCCCCCCCCCATCCTGCCCCTGCCCCATCAAAAGCCCCCCCCCCCCCGAACACACACTTTTTTTTTTCCTGTTTGGCTTCTGTTCATCATTCTTTTCTTTTTTGGCGTTTTCAAAGATTCTTATTTATTCTACATGGAAGCTGTAGCTCCAGTCTGTATAAATTGGGCACATTGATAAATCACAGCCTCCGTTCATGGCAAAGAATGTCATTATATGTTGCATTAGATGATCATGCATGACATTTTTTATTTGTGTACCCACTCTGTTTGTGTCGATACCCCCAAATTGTTCCTGACAATCTTAAATAAATACAAATTGATTGCATAAAAAAATAAAGTGAGCTATTTGCAGGAGCAAGGGGATGGGTGAAGATTCAGAAACCTCCTGCCTACAACCTGTGATGGGTAGCCATGGTAAGATTTGAAGAACGTTGTCCCAACGGCTTTAGAAAAGGATAAGGGCTGTACATTCAAAATAGTATTTATTTACAGTTACAAGCTCTATGCATTGCATCTTTTTCTTAGTGGAGTATAAAAACCATATATAATGACTCCAAAATATATGTATATACAGTCATGGCCAAAAATATTGGCACCCCTGCATTTCTGTCAGATAATGCACAACCCCCGCCCAAAGAATTGTTGCAATTAAAAACATTTAGGCATTCTCATGTTTATTTCTTTTGTTTGTATTGGTAAGACATAAAAAAAAAAAAAAACAAAAAGTCAAATCTAACACATTCCACACAAAATTACAAAAATGGACTGGACACAGTTATTGGCACTTTCTCAAAATTGTAAGAAATAATTGCTTTCCAAGTTTGTGAAGTTTCTGTAATTTTTAATTAGACTCACTTTTATCAATTAACAGATCTTAATGTTCCTGTGTCCACTGTGCACAACATTGTCAAGAAGTTTACAGCCGTGGCACTGTAGCTAATCTCCTTGGATGTAGATGAAAGAGAAAGACTGCAATGAAGGATTGTTCAAATGGTGCATAAAGAAGCTCTTTCAACTTCCAGACAAATTCAAGTTGAGCTTCAGACACAGGGTACAACTGTGTCAGCTCACACAATACATCGCCATCTGAATGAAAAGGGATGCTATGGTAGGAGACCCAGGAGGACCCCACTGCTGACACAGAGATATGGTAGGAGACCCAGGAGGACCCCACTGCTGACACAGAGATATGGTAGGAGACCCAGGAGGACCCCACTGCTGACACAGAAACATAAAAAAGCCATATTGGATTTTGCCAAAACTTACCAGAGGAAGTCAAAATCCTTTTGGGAGAATGTGCTGTGGACAGACGAAACAAAATGACAGCTCTTTGGTAAAGCCCATCATTCTACTGTTTTCAGGAAAAAGCAATGATGCCTTTAAAGAAAAGAATACAGTCCCTATAGTCAATCATGGTGGAGGGTCACTGATGTTTTGGGATTGTTTTGCTTCAGGCACTGGATGTCTTGACCATGTTTATGGCATTATGAAATCTGAAGACTACCAAAGAATTCTAGGTTACAATGTAGGGCCCGGTGTCAGAAAGAAAGTTGGGTCTCCGTCAGATATCATGGGTCTTACAGCGGGACAATGGTCCAAAGCACATGTCAAAAAGAACCCAGAAAGGGTTTCAGACAAAGCGTTGGAGAATACTGAACTGGCCAGCATTGAGTCCAGATCTCAAAACCATAGAGCACCTGTGGAGAGATCTCAAAACAGCAGTTGGGAAAAGAAACTCTTTCAATGTGAGAGACCTGGAGCAGTTGGCAAAAGAAAAGTGGTCCAAAACTCCAATAGAGAGGTGTAAGAAGCTCGTCGATGGTTACAGGAAGCCACTGATTTAAGTTATTTCTTCCAAGGGGTGTGCTACCAAATATTAAATTGAGGGAACCAACGATTTTGTCCAGTACATTTTTGGGGTTTTGTGTGCAATTTGGCTTTTTGTTTCTCTACTTTTTTGTGTCATACCAATACAAACAAAAGAAATAAACATGAAAATGTATAAACATTTGTAATTGCAACAATTTTCTGGCTGAAGTGGTGAATTATCTGACAAAAATGCAGGGGTGTCAAAATTTTTGGCCATGACTGTACCTATTGTCTGAAAAATAAATGGAGGGCGGATATAGTACCATAGTAAGGGGGATGAAGAAGGTCCTCAGTTATTTTTAGAAATAACGTATCTTCAAGCAGAGAGATCTGCAGTAAACCAAGAATCCTTTAATCACATATTTTCAAGAAGATGTAAGCATCATAAATAATACATTCCTCATTATTTTCCATAGACAGGGACCTTTGACATGGAAAACACAAACCGAGCTGCTTAAAAATCATGTTTCTTCATCTTTCGGGTTTGTTATTGCCGTCTTGTCCTCATCTACTGAACATTTTCATCCAAGCTAAAATATATTCTGCTGAAAACCTTTGTGATGATTGTCTGAGTTCCCAGACTTTGCCTGCAAACTTCAGCTTAGCAGAACAGGAAAGTTACAGAAAACCATCAGTTGCAAAAAAAATGCGTTTTGAAAACAATGACCATTTTCCTTTTCATTAATGCAGGCTGTGCTCGGAAGTATCGCTATTCCTTGCAGCCTATATTGATTTTACATGATGCGTGGCATTGTATGAGCCAAAAGTTGTTTTCACCCAACTTTGGATCCTTAGGTGTCCGTTTATGACACAGAGAATAGCTGCGATTCAGAGGATCGAAGCTATTCTCTGGTCATTCACAATTTATGACACTCAGGAGATCAGCGGAGAACATGTTCAGCCCTTCACTGGAGATCTGTGTTCTCCCTCCAGATTCTCCAGCCCAGAGCTGGAGAACCGGAGGGACCTCAAACTAAGCAGCGATAATTTACCTCTGCTTAGTAAACTGATCTTTTACTGTAATCTCACGAGATTATAGTAAAATCAGCCGTTTTCCAGCGTTTGTAGACCGTTCTCCAGCATTTGTAGACCATTCTCCCTTCGTTCGGAGAACTGCTTCATAAAAGGTATTCACAGGAGAACTGTGTTCTCCGAAAATGCCGGAGAACTGAGCAGCGATCATTTACCTCTGATTCATAAACGGACACCTTAACTTCTTTCTACTGGTGTGAGACAATTTTTAAGACATCATAATGCAAGAACAGTTATTCCATGGACTTTCCAATTATGTGATCACTGTAATTGGCTTCAACAAAATGCTGACCATCTGAACACAAACATAGACTCTCTGTTGCATAAATGTTAATAAAGTTCTCCACCTGTAGAGAATGCCTCAGATGTGTTTTGCCCTAATCGTTGAGGCCTCTAGGCCTGAAAAGGGCAAAATGCATCTGAGGCGTTCTCTACAGGTGGAGAACAGGAGCTGAAACCATCTTTTACTCACTTTATACTGTCTGTCTTGTTCTAGTTTATTCACATGCTGATCTGACTGATATAGTTTTGGGGGGCACTCAAGCAGTAATATTTTCATTGTTTTTGGGCTCCACTGTAATCGGCTGTTTCTTAATAAAACGCTCAATCAAAATGGCATAATACAATCCTGTGACCAATATAAACACCACCACCAAAATAAATAATAAAGTGAATTCATACTATTCAAAATCAATCAATGTCCTCTTTGCTCCGGGTGATAAAAAAAAGTTCATATAATTCCAATTCTTCTTAATTTTCACCCATAGTGTTCTTATTTCTGCCTTGCAGTGATCCCCACCACTGTTCACCATATGTGCTCACCTCTAATGGTGGACCTGCCAAATTTCAGGTCAGAAACATTTTCCACCCACCTGGGAGTTGTCGTTGATTCCTCT